AGAGTATGTATTCACCAATATAGCCTTAACATTCTCTGTGTTTTCTGCCTTTTGTCCTTCTTTTCCTCCTTCCATCCAATGCCTGTCAAAAACTTTCTTTTACTGCCTCCATAATTTTGTTTTCTTCAGTGTGTCATATAGTTGGAGTCATACTGTATGTAGTTTTCTCAAGTTACCTTCTTTTGCTTAGTAATATACATTTAAGGTTTCCCCATGTCTTTTCATGGATTGATATTCATTTCTTTTTCATGCTTGAATAATATCCCCTTTTCTGTATGTACTACATCATTTATTCATTCACTTACTGAAGGCCACCTTGGTTGCTTCCATGTTTTGGTAATTATGAGTAAAACTGTTGTGAATATTTTTGTGTAGGTTTTTGTGTAGACAAAGTTTTTAATACCATTGGATAAATACCAAAAGCATGCAATTATGGGATTGTACTGTCTTCGCAAAGTGACTATGCCATTTTATATTCTCACTGCAATGAATCAGGATTCTTTTTGTTCAGCATCTTTGCCAGCAGTTGTTGTTATTAGTATTTTGGATTTTGGCCATCCTAATGGGTGTGTATTGGAAGTTTTTAATTTAAGTACTGGGAGTGTTAAAGATATATCAGACCTAGTATCGGCCCACAAGTAACAATGTAGGTCAAACAGATGTGTACATTGAAAATAATTATAAATACAACTAGAATGATGTTAGATAATGTATTGTGGGCATTTGGGGATGGAGAGATTGTACCTGCGAAGTGAATTATAAGGAAGACCTGGGGATTATATTGGGTATAGAAAGATGAGCCAGATATGGATATCCACAATTGTTCTGGGTTAAGATTGGTACTAAGAAGGGCCCTTTGATTGTGGGCATGGAGGCAGGAAAGTGTTGGGCAGAGGAATAGCTGAACTAGACTGAAAGTGGTTTTTAGGCATTGAGAGAAGCAATACAACTAATATTGTAGATAAGGTTCAGGCTTTGGAATCAGCATACGTTAAAATCCTGGTTCCAAGATTTATTAGCTGTATAAGTTGGTCATAGTTAATATATTTATAGCTTATTTGTAAAGTGCACCTATCTCATAAGGTTATTAGGAGGATTAACATGATGTAATTAGGTAAAATGCTGGATATAGTACCAGTCATATGTATTTCATAGATGTTTGATACACATACAAAAACACATACAAGTGTACTACAGAGTATATTCCTTAAGCAACATTTTGAGAAGGAATTTATTTAAGCAGACAAAAGAAGGAAAGCCACACTGGTTGGAATTCCTGGGTCTCTCCTTTGCTTCTCTCTCCCACCTTGCTTCTTGAAGAGGATCTGAGGAATCTGCAGAACTCACAAAGCACAGAGGGAAAAGGAATTTGAGAGATTAAGATTAAATTTTTTCAAGGCATTATAGATGCAGAAGCAATGAGTGAACTTAGTGACTCATGACTGAATAACATAATCATAACTTTATTTTAGAAGGGTTAATTGGTAGTTGATTCCATTAAAAGGAAGGGCAGTTTCTTTAATAAGCATTAAAAAAAACATAGCACAGTGCTAAATTTTATTTAATGAATAGCACAAGGATACTTTTTGATTTGCTATTATCACTTGACTAGAGGCCCAGTGCATGAATTTTGTGCATGGGGCGGGGGGAGGAGGAATGGACGGACCCAGCCTGCGCCCTCTCACAATCCAGGACCCCTTGGGTAGGGTCCTTAGGCCTGGCTGGCGATCATGGCCTATTGGAGCTTTCCTTCCCCTGGTTGCCAGCAGCTGGCCCTGCCCCTGCCACTGCCATTGCCACTGCTTGCCATCTGTATGGCACTATCCCATTCTTCCCCACCACTTGTCACCTCCCTCTGCAGACAACAGGCATGGGGTGCAATCACTTGGTTGACCTGGGCCTCCCTCTGCAGGGTGATTGCTGGCCTGCCCCACACACCCACCACAGTGTTGCTGGCTGGTGGCCTAGGCCTTCCTCTTTGGGACAATTGATCGTAAAGTCCGCCCCCCTCCCCCCCTCACTCCTCTAATCGCATCGCACCTGCCTTGGCTGGCCTGGTGTCAGAGTGTGTCATAGCATGGTGGCCCAGAGGGTCGTCCGGACAGTTCTGCTGTTTGGTTGTTAGTAGATTTGCATATTACGCTTTTATTATTATAGATTACATAGTATTTTGTATTAGTACTCTTAATTTCATTTGTGTAGGAGTGACCTCCCTATTAAAACTATCTTTGAAAATAGGAAATATGCTCACAATGTTTGGAATCTAATAGATAATAATTAAATTATTTTCTCCTTTCCTTCTTTCTCTTATGTCTGGATGATACAGAGATTGTATTAAATATGATCATTGACTGCAAGATGAAGTACAAAGTAATGAATGCTATGTAAACTTCATGGAAAAGTATTTGGGTAGACCCTTAAATATTGAGTATATTTTCAGTAGTAAAGAAGGGCGATCAGGAATGCTAGACAGAATAGTGTGATGAAAGCAATTGGAGCAGGAAGTGTGGGGACATTTTGGAAATGCAGAGTTTTCTAGTTTCAAGAGTGGCCTTTATGAAGGAGAGATGAAAGAATAGTTATAGCCAGATTGTTAGTTTGGGTTACAGCCAGTAGTTGTAGCCAGAAATATTCTGAAATCTAAATTTTTTCCCCCCCTAGTAAAATAAGGGATGGCAGACAATGGTAGAGGTCGGAGGTGATATGAGTATCTTCAGAAATATAGTGTGGCATAATTGTATATTATGGATGGGATTAGGATATAGGGTAAGATGCAAAGATCCCGGAGAAAGGAAGTTAAGTCAGAGATTATTATAAATTATTCTAGGAGAAATTAGATCCTGTTTTGGTCATTTGTCAGGGCAGTTTTAAAGAGAATGTGGTGACAGAATCTGTAGGGTTTGGCAAATGTTGTTTGTAGAATGCAAAGGAGAGCGGATTAATTTAATGAAGTGTTAAGTTTTGGCATTTTAGCATGATAGTCCCATCATTAACAGATAAAGAATTTACAAGAAGGAGCAAATTTGGATGTAATTATGTGTTTGGTTTTCTAAAATGTACTTTGAGTTAGTGTCAACAATTCCCGGCATTTATTTGTTTGAAACTGGGAAGTGATGAGATTGCCCAAAGAACATTGAGGGAGGAAAGAGTGCAAAAAACAGAATCATATGGCTTAGAGAACAAGAAGAGCCAGAGATGAAAACAAATGAGTACTTTGAGTAGTAGTAGGAAGATTAGAAGAATATATTAGCAAATCAATCAAGAGAATGAAGTGACTGAGGTGGGGGAAAAAAGTGAACAAAGTATGAAGTAGGCATAGATGTTGAGGATGGTGGAGGTTGTGATTTGATGGGTTAGTGGATGGCCTGTTAAGTACAGAGAGGATGTTGTGAGTGGTTGGAAAAGGTTATAGAATCAGACCATATCATCTAATGGATCGCAGTTGCCTTTGTGAAGGCCAATGCTAGTTTGGAGCCACCTTTTCTGTTTTGTGTTGGGGTTAAAATATGACTTATGGAGAATGCCCTACATTGCATCCTCGCTAGATTCCCTGGTTTACCACAATTATTACTTTTCTACTTTGTGATAAAAAAAAGATGGAAAGGTAGCTAGAGGGCTATTATTTCTCATTTTCTTTGTTTCTCCCAGAGTTATTAAATTGTATATAATAAAATTGAGAATTGCTTTTATTTTTCTACATACCTAAATGAGCCTGAATTTTCAACATTGATTATGATAAATTGATGTTCTGAAGTAAGTTGGCCTTTTGGGGAAATAAAAAAAATGGATGAGATTGGTCTTTTGAGTATGTTTGATGGTCTTAATAAAGTCGGTAGCCTTGTGTTGGGTCTCCAGTATTTTTAAATTTGCTAGAACTCTAGAATCCAAAAATCTAGAAACTATATGAGATGATTGTTAGTTAAAAGAAGGAGTGAGATGGCGAAGGAACTTGTAGGAACACAAAATATATTTAGGGCAGATCAAACCTTTTTATAGGATAAACAGCAGGAAGCAGTGGTTAGTAATTGGAGAAGGGGTAGAAAGACTAATAATGGATAGAGAAAGATTACAGAGGAAGCCAAGGGAGATCTGAATTGAATTATGAAACAGGAGAGTCTAAATGATTTGGATCCTTCTTGACAGGTTGGTGCAAAAACACTAAGTGGTGGAATATTGGGGTGGTACTTTATAATGTGAACTTATATATGCCAAAGAGGTGTTTTTATTATTCAGAGTATTATAGCAACCTTTTGATTTATATATATATATAAACTTAGAAGGTATAAAGGCATTTATAATTCAAATTATTTTGAGTTGGAATTTTAAACAGGCAGATCTAATTAACAGAAAATTTATCAACTATGGTATCATTTCAGCAGCTTCTCTTACCAAATTATTTCAATTTTAAGTTTTGGTGCCAGTTTATTCTTTACATTGTCCAATAAGTTTCAACTCCTGTTTATTTCATATTTTTCCAGAGCTAGAATAGATGGAAAATAATTCAAGCTTGTGATTTTCCATGTTGGAGACCACTAGAATGTCAATAAAACCTGTTTTTAAAAAATATAAATTATATATAAGTATATGATTTTTAAAATCCTTTTTTTTTTTTTTTTTTTGTTTTGTTTCTGGACCACAGCTTCTTTTGACTATTGACTCTAACCAGTACAGTAAATTCCAGACTTATTCTTTTTTTCTTTAAAAGTTTTAAGCAAAAGTTTCATGTGCTTTTAAAGTTAAAGTGGGTACTATAAAAATCAAATTTAATATGGTTATGGCACAAACATATTTTGTGATAGTCTGACACGTCCCTTATATTTGGCTCAGAAAACATAATTGCTGAACTATTAGTCTAGTCTCTAAAATAGTAGGTAAAAAGATATAAATAGAGTTATAAGGAGTGATAACCTGATTGAATTAAGTTACTGTGAAAATTTGTTTTTTACATATGCAAGATATATATTAAAACTATATTTCATGTCGTTTCCTTTCTGTTGTAGTTTTCAACTTGACCAACAATGTGGATTTGGACAATACCAAAAAGAAAATGGAGATATACCAAAAGGAAAACAAAGATGTCATTCAGAAAAACAAATTAAAGCTGGTTAGTTGCTAAGTATTTTCTTGTTCTTTTATTTTAGAAATGGATGCTTCTACATGATCTTTAAAAAAGATATCATTCTCTAAAAGTAATATTTATAAAGAATTTAGCTGAAATTTAGACCAGAAATACTAATAAGTGTATATCTATATCTATAACAATAAAAGTGTAATATGCTAATTAGACCAGATGTCCTTCCGGATGTCCTTCTGGACAACCATCTGGGGGAAGCTGGGGCCACAGGGCCAAGGCATGCTGTGGCGGCTGTGAAGGCTGAGCCCCTTGCACGAATTACGTGCACTGGCCCTCTAATAAGCATATACCAGTAAGTAGGAGGCACATATTACTGTAGCAAAAACAATTTTGGTGGGATTATTAAAATATATTCTTTAATGTTAAAAGAATTGTATGCATGCAGAGATTTAATTGTCTAGCTTATGCAGTTTAGTACAACTTGGCTTTATAGTTTTGGGGGAAAGAGTTAATTATTTTTGAGGTACTTAATTAGGAATTTGTAATTATCAGTAAAACTGGAAAAAGTATATTCAGATCACATAGCTTGTATTTTTATCTTGAGTTAGAGGACTTCCTCCTTATAGATAAAGCCCTCAAGTGGTACCTGGGACATGGACTAACTTACATGGCTAATGTTTTTTTTACTAAACTGAGGTAGCAACTTGCCTTTCATGCTTCTGTGAATGCTGAAGTCTCACTGTTGCAGAAGCAACAGAGTTGTATCAAAGAAGAAAAGAAAAAAGGCAATCTCTTGCATGATTAGACTCATAAAATGACCCATTTCTGCCATAGAGAAACTATTACTGAGTTGTCTGCTAAGGATATCTTATGTTTCATGGAGCTGTTACCTAACATCAATCAATGTGAGTGTGAGAAACTGAATAAAGGGGTTTTAATCTTGAAATAGAGTATTAGTGAAGATTAACTTAATTTTTACTTTCACTTTTCTGGATTCTCATGAGCAGGAGAGATTGCAGTGTAAGAATGTGTTTCAATTTAGCATAAAAATATTTAGTTCAATAAACATTTGTTCAATATCTGCTAGGCTATGTTGTACAAAGATGAATAAGAACGCTATTTTCTAGGGATCAGATAATTTCACTATATAATGTCATAAGCACATTTTCCCATTCTGAGAAAATTGGGAAAGGTATTCCAGACAAGGTCATGCTTATGAAGCCTTGAAGGACAAGTAGAATTTAGCAAGATGAAGAAGATGGGACAAGGGCGAGGGAAAGGAGGCTGCCACAAGCAAGTTCCAGGCAGAATGAAATCATGAGCAAAGGTAAGAAAGCATGGATAATCACGGAGAGTTCTAGGAGTTGTCTATAGTTCTGTATTGACAAAACGAGAGAGAGAGAGAGAGAGAGAGAGAGAGAGAGAGAGAGGGAGAGAAGTTGGAGAAGTGAAAGGGCCTAGGTCACCTAAGACCTTAATGTATTGTGAGGATTAATTTGGGCTTATATGGAACAGTTTTTTTCTATGTTTTAGCAGGTAAATCTTTTTTTTTTTTTTTTTTTTTTTTTTTTTTTTTTTTTTTTTAATGAAAGCTTGCTCAGCATATTTTGGTTGAAATGATGATGATGCAGGAGAGATAGGCTGGATTCTCATCTGCTCAGTCTTTTTTTTTTTTTTTTTTAAATATATTTTATTGATTTTTCACAGAGAGGAAGAGAGAGGGATAGAGAGTTAGAAACATTGATGAGAGAGAAGCATCGACCAGCTGCCTCTTGCACACCCCCTACCGGGGATGTGCCTGCAACTAATGTACATGCCTTTGACCGGAATCGAACCTGGGACCTTTCAGTCCACAGACCGATGCTCTACCACTGAGCCAAACCGGCTTCGGCTGCTCAGTCTTTACTATAGTGTATCTTAAGGCATTTTATTAGGGAATTCCCAGGATTCCTTAGAGTACTGTTATAAGAACCTGACTATTGATGATTGTCATTGAAGGGTTTTTAACAAGATGATAAGGCATTTTATTAGGATATGTTTAATGGTATTGTCCTTATTAGTATATGTTTAATGGTTTTGTGGAGGTTGAATTTGAGAGAGTTAAGTCTGGAGTTCAGGAAGTTATTGAAGTCATTAGGTGAGTTCAGAGGTCACTTTAACAGCAATGGAGAAGTAAGGATGAATTAAAGAAATATTTTGAGTTTAAAATAGCAAATTCTATTGATGGATTGAAGTGGGTGGTGAATGCAAGGAAAATTGATTGGATAAGGCAGCACTAATAGGAAGAACACAGAGACTTTTAGTCTTTCAATTTGCTTCCCTTCTCTTACTCTAATACCTTCTTCATTGTCTTGCCTCCAAGTTTGATTTTTAATGATGCTTATTTTCCCAGTTACTCAATCAGCTAGCTTGCCAACCAATATTTATTGAGGCCTACTTTGCACTAAATAACTCATATATTCTATTTCAGTGAGAAAATAGAGTCTACCAGTTCCTCATTACCAAAGCTGATAAACTCTTTATTAGTCTGAATCTCATTTGGCCTGTAGTCAATATTTGTTTCATGACTTGTTTCTTGGTGTTGAAACTTTTCCTTAACTTTTCTGGCGCTTCTAGTCATCTTTCTAAATTCTCCTCCTTATCTTACTGTTCTCACTTTTCTCTTTCATCCTCTTCATAGACTTCTCTTTCCTTCCTGTCTCTTAAACACAGTCTCCTCTTAGTGCTTCTCTTTATGATTACTCTTTACATCGATTACTCTCAAATGTTTCTGCAGTCCGTTTTCTCCTGAGTTCCTAGGATTATATTATGTAATATGCTCATATATCTATAAATGGTAAATAGACTTTTCTTTTTGGATGTATTCTGGGCAGTTGTAATTCAGCATTCCAGAACTGAACATTTTAATCTTCACAGTCACTTATTTCTCCTATTATGTCCTTTTTCCAGTTGTTCAAGGCATATCTGCTCAGTCTTCATGTTGGTCTCTCCTTATCATTTTTCTTTTAAAAAATGTTTTTATTGATTTTAGAGGGGAAGGGAGAGGGAGAAAGAGAGAGAAACCTTAATGAGGAGAGATAATCATTGATTGGCTGCCTCCTATAACACCCCACACTGTGGATCGAGCCTGCAACACAGGCATGTGCCCTGTCCGGGGATTGAACCTGGGACCTCCTGGTTCATAGTTCAATGCTCAACCAGCTGGGCTCTCCTTATCATTTTTCAAACCTAATTCCCTTCTGATTTTATCATTATTTAGGGCCCTCATAATTTTTTACCTGGGTTATTGAAATATTTTTCTAATTAGTCTTCCTGTCTTTAGTTTTGAACCCCATTGAGACATCTTTCTAAATTCATTCAAATTTTCTTAATTCTTGCCACTTGCCTTAGTGTGGCACAAATTCCCTTAGTATGGTATGATAGACCTTTCATGTTCTGCTCTTTGCTTGCTTGTCTAGCTTTATCTAGAACTGTTTCCCATTTTCACACCTCATGATTTGGCCATAACAAGCAAACATTTCATCTTTATTCATGACTTTGCAGCTTTGTTTTTCTGTCTAAATGGCTATTCTAATCTCTCATGGGGGTAAATACCTATTGTCTGAAGTCTTAGCTCATCTTACATATAATAGTTTTTTAGGACTGCTGGAACAAATTACCACAAACAGGGTGACTTATAGCAACAGGGATTTATTCCTTCACAATTTAGGAGGCTAGAAGTCTGGAATGAAGGTGTCATCAGGGCCATGTTCTTTCTGAAACCTCAGGGAAGTGCCCTTTTTTGCCTCTTCTAGCTTTTGGTGGTTGCCAGCAACTTTGGGCACCACTCTGATCTCTTCCTCTGTCTTCCCATGACCTTCTCTTCTGCATGTACGTGTTCAGATTTCCAGTTGATCTTAACTTGTTTACATCTGCAATGACCCTGTGTTGAAATAAGATCACATTTGCAGGTATCAGGGGTAAGGCTTCAATGTAAGGGAACCCTAGTGCACTGTTGGTGGGAATGCAGATTGGTGCAACCACTATGGAAAATAGTGAGAAGTTTCCTCAAAAAGCTAAAAATGGAACTACCTTATAACCCAGTGATTCCACTTCTGGGAATATATTTGAAGAAACCTGAAACACTAATTTGAGAGAATATATGCAGCCCTGTGTTCATTACATCATTAATTACAATAGCAAAGATATGGAAGCAACCCAATTGCCCAGCAGTAGATAAGTGGATAAAAGAGCTGTTAACCATATATACAATGGAATACTATTTGGCCATAAAAAGGAATGAAAACCTTTTTTTTTGCGACAGCATAGATGGACCTAGTAGGGTGTTATACTTAGTGAAATGAGTCAGAGAAGACAAATACCATATGGTTTCACTAATATGTGAACTCTAAAGAACAAAACAAACAAGAAGTCATGATTTCAGTAGTAGGAATTGCCAGAGGGAGTTTTCAGCTTTCTTCCTGGGGAAACATTATGATGTTGAACCTCAAAGTGATTGAAATTTGATGCAGGGGAGCCCTTAAATATGGATGCTTCTCTTCTTAACTTTCCTAGGCCTCTCTGAACTCACTGGTTTATATATCGGGGAGAACCTGGGATGCTTTTTTGGAATGCCATTGAACCACTGGACTCATTGTTCTAATTACTCTCCACACCATTTCTAATCTACTCCTGAGGTGCTTTCACACAGTATATTTCTGTGACTCTCTGATCTGCCAAAAGCCTGCAGCCATTTAAAAAGCAAGGGAGGAAGATATACAAATGGCCCAGGAGAGAGGCCACATGCCTTTCAGAAGTCCCTGAAGTATAAAATTCCAGCTAGTCTTTTGAAATGCTTGTCCTGGCAGGACCTGGTGACTAGAGTGGGTATTTGAAGAAGATGGTTTGATTTCCATTGTGAGACATTATGAAAAACACACACAGATATTTAAAACTGGAAGAAAAAAGAAAAGACTTCAATGTATATTTTTGTTGGTTTTTTTTGGGGGGAAGTTTATTTTATGCATGAAATAAAAATATTCAATATTGTTTTAAATTTTATCAATATATAAAAAAACCTAAGCGACCATCTGACCAATAGCTATGATGAGCAATGACCACTAGTGGGCAGATGCTCAATGCAGGAGCTGCCAACCTGCAGTGACTTGGCAGCTGTGGTTCTTAGGTAACTCACTCGGAACCAGAGAGGAGGGAGCCTGATTCCAGGGTGCGACACCCAAGAACTACTCTCTTGTAATCCAGAACCCCTCGGGGGATGTCTGAGAGCCAGCTTAGGCCTGATCCCAGCAGACTAGGCCAAGGGACATGAACTGGGCCTCTAGTTTTACATAAAAGTATACTCTTGTCTGAGGTCTCTGTTAATTTTGATATTATGTTGGTGATCCCCAAACCTATAATGCTCCCTCTCCCCATTCTATATCGTGTGACTCAATGGTTGAGCATCAACCTATGAACCAGGAGGTCTAAGTTCGATTCCCAATTAGGGGACATGCCTGGGTTGTGGGCTCGATTTCCAATGAGGGGCTTGCAGGAGGCAGTGATCATTGATTCTCTCTCAAGATTGATGTTTCTATCACTCTCTCCCTATCCCTCTCTGAAATCAATAAAAATAAATTTTAAAACACACACAACAAAACAAAACAAAAAACACTACAACATTTTAAAGAGTAAGAGTCAAGGTTTTAAAATAAAGCCATTCAGATTTGTCCTTTTATTTTTTATTCATAAGACTTAAAGAGGGAAGACTTGGTGTAATGCTAAATTAAGTATAGTATGAGTTAGGTTTGGGATAGATTTCAGAGCCTGTAAGTAATTAATACTTTTAAAGAACATTATAAAAGGTGAAGGAGTAGACCTGGAGTTAATTCTATGTACATATTACCTTTGAAATTAGAATTTTTCAGTCCATAAAGAGGACTCTTGACATTTACATGCCTTTATTAGAAAATAAATGCATTAAAAAAAACTTACCTTATGAGTGGTGTTTTTTTTTTCTTTTTTTTTTTTAAATTCTAGCATCAAAAAGTCTTATTTTATTTTAGCTTGGGAAAAACAAGCTAAGTGCTATGATAAGTTTTCATTATCTTTTATGTTTGAGAAATTGTTGCTATTAAATAAGCTAATCTTAAATAGAGTATGTCAGTCCATAGTTCTGTATTGAGATTGTCTGTTTGTTGTTTTATTTTTTATTTTGTTTTGTTTTCCTTGTTAAATCCCGTAAAATGAATGCTTGAAACTGTCTCTAATCATTATAAATAAATTAACCAATTATTAAGTACAGTTCCTGCAATTCTGCAACTTGCCTCAATGTACTTTGTTTAGGTGTTTGTTTAGTGCTACATGTCATTTTCTTTAATAGTAATACATCCATATGAAATAAAATGAATTTTAGTTCCTTTAAAGTGGAATTGCTACACTATCTAAATATATATAGAGCTAGACTGAAGGCTTGACTGAACACCAGGCTGTGTGCATAGTAGGCAAGAGGGCTGAATGCTGACCTCTTGGAGAGAGAGGTGGGGCTAATCAGCAGTGGCATTGGCTGCTGACAAGCCCGAAGAGAGAAGTAGAGTGATCAGATCCTGTTTCTGTCTCGGGGCCTTGCCAGCAACAAAGCCTCTCTGTTTCTCCCAGAGATCATCAGTTTAGCCCACTTGCCAGCAGCCTGGGGTGGCTGCTGATCAGCCCTGCCTCTATGATCAGGCGATGAGGCAGGTTGGGGGGAAAGGTAGGGGTGGTCAGGCTGGCAGAGGGCAAGGTAGGGGTGATTAGGCTGGCAGGGGGCAAGGTAGGGGCAATCAGGCCAGCTGGGGGGCAGGGTAGAGGTGATCAGACCAGCAGGTAGAGGGGTTAGGAGTGATCAGGAAGGCAGGCATATGAGAGTTTAGGACCTGTTGTCCCAGGTTGCAAGAGGAATGTCTAACTGCCAGTTTAGGCCCGATCCCACTGGCAATCGGGCATCCCCGGTTAGGTCCCAGATTGGAGAGGGTGCAGGCCGGGCTGAGGAATCCCCCTCCGTGCATGAATTTTGTGTACCATACCTCTAGTTAAACAATAAGTGGCTACTGTGTTTTATGCTTCTAAAAAAACAAATCAGAATGTGGTATAGGATCGATTTTGGTTACTAAATTTATTCTATACCAAATGTTTCTGTTTTAGACTCAGGAACAGGAGGAACTGGAAGAAGCTTTAGAGGTAGAACGACAGGAAAATGAACAAAAAAGACTGTTTATACAAAAAGAAGAACAACTACAGCAAATTCTAAAAAGGAAGAATAAGCAGGCTCTTTTAGATGAACTGGTATGTATTAATGCTAATTACAATAAAAAATCGTTGGTCTTTGGGTTCGTGTTTCTTATTTATTATGCTGGATAATGGCATCTTAATGGCATTTCTGTAGTTTGTGCTGGTGTATTAAACTTTGATTTCTTTTAATTTCTCTAACCTTTAGTTGAGATATTGTTAGCTGAAGCAGCCTCCACCTTGTTTATCCCATGTAAGTTTCTATTATTTCCTGCCTAAGGGCTACATGTAAATTTCTGTTTATGTTGCCTAAGATGTTTTCCCCAAAGCCTCAATAAAAGGGGATGGCAAGGCCAGAGCAGTAGTAGTTCTCCCACTAGAGTTAGACTACTGCCTGGCCCCCCATATCGCCAAGTTGAATTTCAAAAACAAAACAAAACAAAACAAAACAAAACAAAAACACTTTGATTTCTTAATTAAAAAAATTTTTTTTTACAATACCCATTTTATTTCAAAAGCGACAGTATTATAACTGACATAGTAATCCAACAACCTGTTAATAGATTGTTTACATGTTTCTAAGCTTACTGTCTAAAACACATTGTTTCCAAGCATTTTTTTTTTCTATATTAATGCTGGTTTTCTAATAACTGGCTCATTTTAAATTGTTTCGGCTCCGGGCTGAGTTTGCTCCAGTTATTCTGTGAGAACTATATTTAATATTTTTGTGTGAAAAAGAATGAGAAGAAATAGTGATGTTTTGCAAGTTATTGATGTTTTCCTGCAATTAGTCCCTCTAGTTGTTGATATTGGTAGATAACAGCCATAATAATAACTAAATTTTATGAACTGTTTCATAGACTTCATATATTATTTGATGCTTTTTAATCCAGTGATATTGATAAACTCACAACTAGAAAATCATACGCTCCAGGGATGTCTTTTGTATTCTTCTCTTTCTTTTTTTAATCCACATAATTTTCATGAGGTCCTCAGTTTAGTTGATATACTGCTTGTTATTCTGTGATTGGGTAAATGTGTATGTGCCTATTTTCTACTGAGCTTTTTTGCCCAAAAGCATATAAGCCAATTAACCAGGAATAAAAAGAAAAAGCAAGATTATTTAAATTAGAGAAAGGTAGGAAAGTAAAGGATAAGTAAGGATAAAGGCATTTTAATGAGGCTTAGAAAATGCTTATCATAAACACTGTGTACTTTGAGTGCAATGTAAATTGGTTTTAAAAGTAAGGACAGAGGCATATTAATAGAATATGCATCCTAGCCAATTTGGTCCAGTGGAGAGGGCATCAGCCTATGGACTGACGGGTCCTGGATTTGATTCCGTTCAAGGGCACATGCCCAGGTTTTTGTGCTCGATGCCTGGTAGGGAGCATCTCATCATTAGTGTTTCTATCTTTCCCTTTCCCTTCCTCTCTGAAATCAATTAAGAAGTTTTTTTTTTTTTTAAAAAAAAGAATATGGCATTTTCCTTAGCAACTTCCATTAATTTTTCTTGAAACTACCATGTGGCAGATAAAGCTTTAACATGTGAAATTACACGGGTTGTGTTTTATAGTTTTTGGAGCCATATATTTTGTGAGAAATTAAAACCTTTAGTAAATCAATTAGTAAATATTGATGTTATAATTATTTATTGAAATATTCTTTCCCTCATCATTTTATTTTATTTATTTTTTAAACCTTTTTAAAAAACATATTTTATTGATTTTTTACAGAGAGGAAGGGAGAGGGATAGAAACATCGATGAGAGAGAATCATCGATCAGCTGCCTCTTGCACACCTCCTACTGGGGATGTGCCCTTAACCAAGGTACATGCCCTTGACCAGAATCGAACCTGGGACCTTTCAGTCTGCAGACCTGATGCTCTACCACTGAGCCAAACTGGTTTCGGCATCCCTTATCATTTTATTCAAAGAGGGACATACTTGTCTTTGGTAATGCTGCTCCCCTATACACTTAATTGAATTAATAAATGCAGAACTTAGACATAGGATGAAAATACACTTTAACTTTTTTTTTATAATTTAAATTCTTTATTGTTTAAAGTATTACATGAATCTCCCTTTCCTCCATTGACCTCTCTCCGACCTCAGCACATGTTCTCACCTCCTGTCTGTCCATTGGTCATGCTCATATGCATGCATACAAGTCTTTGGTTGATCTCTTACCCCTTCACCCCCCATCTTCTCATAGGTTGGATAGTCTGTTTGATGCTTCTATGACTCTGATTCTATTTTTGTTCATTGTATTTCACAAATGGGTGAGATCATGTGATATTTATCTTTCTCTGACTGGCTTATTTTGCTTAGCATAATGCCCTTTAGCTGTTGCAAATGGTAAGAATTCCTTCTCTTTTACAGCAGTGTAGTATTCCATTGTGTAGATGTACCACAATTTTCTAATCCACTTGTCTGCTGATGGGCACTTAGGCTGTCTCCAAATCTTAGCTACTGTGAATTGTGCTGCTCTGAACATAGGGGTGTATATATACTTTCTCATTGGTGTTTCTGTTTTCTTGGGATATATTCCTAGAAGTGGAATTACTGGGTCAAATGGAAGTTCCATTTTTAATTTTTTGAGGAAAGGCCATACTGTTTTTGTTTTCCACTGTAGCTACACCAGTATGCATTCCCACCAGCAGTGCAAGAGGGTTCCTTTTGCTCTGCATCAGGCTCCAACACTTGTTTGTTGATCTGTTGATGATAGCCATTCTGACAGGGGTGAGATACCTCATTGTTGTTTTGATTTGCATCTCTCAGATGATTAGTGACTTTGAGCATGTTTCCATATGTCTCTTGGCCTTTTCTATGTACTCTTTTGAAAAGTGTCTATTTAGATCCTTTGCCCATTTTTTGATTGGTTTGTTTATTTTCCTTTTGTTAAGTTGTATGAGTTCCTTGTAAATGTTGGAGATTAAACCCTTATCGGAGATAACGTTAGCAAATTATGTTTTCCCATGCAGTGGGCTTTCTTGTTGTTTTGTTGATGGTTTCTTTTGCTGTGCAGAAGCTTTTTATTTTTATGTAGTTTCATTTGTTTATTTTCTCCTTAGTTTCCATTGCTTTAGGAGCTGTATCGGTAAAGATATTGCTATGGCAAATGTCTACTATTTTGCTGCCTAGGGCTTCTTCTAGGATTTTTTTTTTTATGGTTTTCTGTCTTAACGTTTAACTCCTTTATCCATTTTGATTTTATTTTTGTGTATGGTGTAAGTTGGTGATCTAGTTTCATTTTTTTGCATGTAATTAAAGAGTTTTTAGATTTTATTTTGAGGTTATCTTACTTTGCATAGCAGTTTCAACTTACATATTTTTTAAGTCTCAAAGTACTAAGTTTGCCTGCCTCACTGAGCTGCTATTGGCACGAAGCTTCCATTTAATTCACTGGAGCAGGAAGCATGATGTGAAACTGCAAGTGTTGTACATTGTGTATAATCTGGAGTTAATATTGGTTTTTGTGAGAACCCGCCCCCCCTCACTTCCTGTTTTCTTCACCTGCAAGTCATTACTGCACATACTTTCTTCACTGTTTAGATCATATAACATGGTGGTTAAATAATCCTTAGCAATTTACTATATTCATTAGGACAATTAATTACATTACATTGGTTTGGAATACCAATGAAGTTTGGGTTTCTAGGTTCCATTTTAAATTTATTTGTAAAGATTTGTTGTTATTTTAATTTTTTAAATATTAATTTTTTTGATTAAAGTGTTGACATACATTTAGTTCTTATTGACAAAAGAATTCATTAAATTTCTTTTTATCCTAAATTCTTATTAAGTAAAACACTACATAATAATTCTTTTTCTATGTATATTAGTGAATTACATTTTATAAAAAAAAAGATAGCATTGGCACTTGTAAATATGTCTAAAAGCTTAAATTTTAGGGTTATTTTCTGGATCCAATTTAGGCAGTAAGTACTATTTATAAGAATTTCTCCTCCTTATTTTAGGTTTGGTCCTTGTGCTAAAAGTCACTTTTTAACCTTTTATAAAGCATTGGCATTATATTATACTGTAGATGACAGGATTTTAATGTTATGGTATTAATGTTTATGGCTTAATATTTACTATAATTTTGCCTAAAAAGTCCATTTATTTAATTCTAACTGTAAATTCAGGATGGGTTTTTTTTTTTTTTTTTTTTTTTTCACTTTGGAAAAAGATTTTAAAACAGGTCCTGATTTAGTTAATCTTTTTATATTCCTGTTTGAAAATTCTCTTGACTTTATGTCTGAAATTTTGTATTGGCTAGTATTGCTGTCAAATGTAGTAGCTGATTTTTATTAGAAATATTGTTTGCCAGATGGCTTGCTTAAAGTCAGTTAAAATAATGTTTTAAAAATGGTCATTATAAAGCTTTTAATGAGTATTACAGGCAGTCTTATTAAAATTTCTTTAAGTATTAAACAAGGTACCTTCAGGCAATTAATGTAGGTTAGGGAACCTTTCAAGGTAAAATGGAAAGCGTAGAAGAATGGGATAATTTGAAAGGCTGAATCTGCATTTTATGTATTCCCAATAGGATGTGAATTCCTCATAGTTTATTTTACTTGGTAGATTTTGTTGTTGTTAGAGCTCCTGCTTAATTCTAGTTTAACATTCACAATGATTTTCAACCTCTAAAGTTTTGAGTGCTAGAGTGGAATAAAGCAGATTTGAGGTAAATTGTATGCCAGAGTAGCAAAATTAGTTTTAGATTCCTAGAATGTTTATTTTTATTAAATTTTGGCTGTTTTATGAATATATTTTAATAGATTCTTTTATGTGACATTGAAACCAGGTCAAAGTATTGATTAGCAAGTTTTTTAAAGTGAATACATTGTCTTGATTTTACACAAGAACTTTAAGTTTTTAAGAGTAAATACCATGTATGTAAGTGCATTTGAGTTCACTTAGAGTATAAATTGGGAAGCAATGTTTTAACTTTTTAGTCAAGAATTTTTTTTTTTCTGTTAGTGTTTTTGCATATGAAAAGATAGTTGTAGCTTTTAAGAGATTTTGGGCCACACAGCCTATTTAAAAATGTCCTGTAATTTTATTATAATATTCTTAGTAGAAATCTAGAGTAGCTACAGAGATTCATAGCAGTGCTGTTACTAATGCATTACTGATGCCTTGTAGTAGAATATGAAAGGTATCAAGTTTATTCTCATAGTATATTTTATTCATTCTCCATTATTGATAAAGCTAGGTCACAAGGAGTTTGCTCTTTAATATGGTTCTATTTTATAAATAAAACGTGTTCTTCTACTTACTTTTTAAAGATTTAATCTTTGTAATGTTGCTCTTGCAGTGAACTTCTGTTATAATTCTTGAGGTACAGATTTATTCTAGGACAATTCTGTTGAAGTAAATTGTCTTGTTTTTTGAATTAGTTTTGTACTAGGACTTTACGTCCTTTAACTATATTAATTAGCCATATTTGTGCCTAAAATATTATTAAGTTATTAGATTTGGGAAGAAAATTAGATTCTGCTCTATGTTTACTTCATACTGTGAAATGTTAACATGATAGAGTTTTTTTAAAGTATTAAATTATGGATGTTTCTATTTAAAAAATTTATTGGCCACTGAAGAATATGTTTATTTTTGTAAATAACCTAGATTTGCAAACTAGGAACTAGAAATGCACTGATGCCCTTTATTTTTTTCCAAAGATATAGGAAGTACTCTGTGTGTACATGTGTGTTTGTGTGTATGTGTGTGTGATCTTCCCTCTGCATGTTTCTGTGTTCTTATTCAGTTGACAACTCAGGAAGGAAAAGCCTGGATATCATTTAGTTTAGACTTTAGCTCCATAGCACTTTAAACATGTAAGAGGACTTCATGTTAAAAAGGATAAATAGCTACATATAAGAATTAGTAATTTGCTTGTTATTATGTGTGTATATAGATTTATATAAATAGTGATCCTGATTTAGTATCAACATAGATATTAAAAATGTTTACTGTTATTTTGTTAATTAAAAGTTAGACTTATTTTCTAAAAATAAGTCAGTAAAAGAGAAAATAAATGTACTTTTGGTTGTACTTAACAATCGTTCCATTGTGCAAACAGAACAAGGATCATTTCCAAACGGCCTCAGGTGAAATCTAATGGGAAACAATTTCAAACTAGTCTGAATTCACTGGTAAAAAGAATGTGTCTTAGATAAACATCTGATCCAAGTTATAGTACTTTGTACTACTCTTTTTGTGATTAGTTTCTAATTTTTTTTATTTTAATAAATATGGTTGGCATTGCTTGATGAAATAAGACCCTATTATATTTTCTTTAATGTGGATTTAAAAAAATATTTTTTTGCAGGTTTTGATTTATGAGTATAAAACAGCCTTTTCTTATTATGGAATGTTAAATTTTTTATTTTTTTTTTGTTAAGTGTTCTCCATAAAGTGAATATTTAGGTTGACATCAAATACTTATGAAAAGGCATAATTTAAAATAATAGACCTGTTGCTCTTAAGTTTTTCTTTTTAACTATTATATTGCACATTAACTTTTCTTACAGGAAAGTTCTGATCTCCCTGTTGCTCTACTTTTGGCTCAGCATAAAAATAGGTCTAACCAGTTGGAAATGCAGCTTGAGAAACCCAAACCTATAAAACCAGTGACATTTTCTACAGGCATCAAAATGGTAAGCCATATTTTAATTGCTTGTTGGAAAGATATATTTCAAGGATTATACTTTATAATTTTATATTGACTTCTACAGGTAAATGGAAAGGTTTATATGTTTAAGAACAGTGTAGGAAAGCATCTTAAGCTTATAGTGTAGGAAAGCATTCTTAAAAGAAAATGCACACTTCTGGTTTCCGGTATGGCATGTAAGAAGCTTGGAAGTTGTCACTACCTCTCACAGATAAAGCTTGGAAATTGCCACTGCGTCCTCAGACTGAAAAACAACAACTTTTCTTAGAGTCATAAGTGAAGAGAGGTCACAAGGCTAATTACTAACCTTAAAATTGGAGAGACTGGCTGAGAATACAGAGAATCACAACTGACTAGAGCAGTTTGCATTCCCACCAACATTGTATGAATGTTCCAGTTGCTCTGCATTCTTGACGATATTCAGTATTATGAGTTTTAAATTTTTTAGGCATTTTAACAGGTGTGTAGTGGCATCTCATTATCATTTTAATTTACATTTCCCTGGTGACTAATGCTGAGCATCTTTTCATGAGCTTGCTTATTTGCTATCAGTATTTCCTTTGACCTAAACATTTAACTTAATACATTAAATAGCTTACTAGAAAGTTTTGTGACATTATTTTCTTCCTTTTCTCTCTTATAACCTTTTGTTTTGTGAAATGTAGTGTGTGTGTGTGTGTATATCTATCTATCTATCTATCTATCTATCTATCTATCTATCTATCTATCTATAGATATACACACACACACACACACACACACACACACAAAAGTGCAAGTCAGGTAAAAGAAGACAAGTATTCTCAGTGCTCTAGAAACCCTCCTCATAACCCCGCTTACCTAATCAGCAACTTCTTTTTCCCGAAGTAGTCACAATTTTTTTTTTAATTGATATTTTTTTCTGGCTCTTTATTTATTTATTTTTTTTTATTTATTTATTTATTTATTTATTTATTTTTTTTTAATTTTTTTTTTATTTTACATATTTTATTGATTTTTTTTTTGCCCCCCTCCTTCCCTCCCATGTATCCCCTCCCTCCCCAGAGTTTTATGTCCATTGGTTGTACTTATATGCATGTATACAAGTCCTTGGGTTGATTTATTGTCTCCCCCAGACCCTCCTCCCCTCCCCGTTGTAATTTGACAATCTGCTTGTTGCTTTACTGTCTCTATATCTATCTTTTGGTTCATCAGTTTATAATGATCTTTATTATCCACAAATGAGTGGGGTCATGTGGTGTTTCTCTTTCATTGATTGGCTTATTTCACTCAGCATGATGTTCTCCAATTCCATCCAGGTTGCTGCAAATGATGAGAATTCCTTCTTTTTTATGGCAGAATAGTATTCCATTGTGTAGATGTACCAAAGTTTTTGGATCCAATCATCAGCTGACGGGCACCTCGGCTGTTTCCAGATTCTGGCTATTGTAGATTGTGCTGCTATGAACATAGGGGTGCATATATCCTTTCTGATTGGTGTTTCTAGTTTCTTGGGATATATTCCCAGAAGTGGGATTACTGGGTCAAATGGGAGTTCCATTCTCAGTTTTTTGAGGAAACTCCACACTGTTCTCCACAGTGGTTGCACCAGTCTGCATTCCCACCAGCAGTGCACGAGGGTTCCTTTTTCTCCGCAACCTCGCCAACACTTGTCGTTTGTTGATTTGTTGATGTTGGCCATTCTGACAGGTGTGAGATGGTACCGCATTGTTGTTTTGATTTGCATCTCTCGGATAATTAGTGACTTTGAGCATGTTTTCATGTGCCTTTTGGCCTTCTTTCTGTCTTCTTTTGTAAATATTCTATTTAGGTCCATTGCCCATTTTTTAATTGGATCATTCATCTTCCTTTTATTTAGTTGTATCAGCTGTCTGTAGATGTTGGAGATTAAACCTTTATCCGTGGTATTATTTGCAAATATATTCTCCCATACCGTGGGCTTTCTTGTTGTTTTGTTGATGGTTTCTTTTGCTGTAAAAAAACTTTTTATTTTGATGTAGTCCCATTTGTTTATTTTCTCTTTAGCTTCCATTGCCCTAGGGGCAGTATCAGTGAAGAAGTTCTTTTGGCATACGTCTGAGATTTTGCTGCCTGCGGATGCTTCTAGTATTTTTATGGTTTCCCGTCTGATGTTTAAGTCCTGTATCCATTTTGAGTTTATTTTTGTGTATGGTGTAAGTTGGTGATCTAGTTTCATTCTTTTGCATGTGTCTGCCCAATTTTCCCAACACCATTTATTGAAGAAACTGTCTTGACTCCATTGTATATTCGTGCCTCCTTTGTCAAATATTAATTGAGCATAGTGATTTGGGTTGATATCTGGGTTCTCGATTCTATTCCATTGATCTATATGTCTGTTTTTGTGCCAGTACCAGGCTGTTTTGAGAACAGTGGCTTTGTAATACAGTTTGAAGTCTGGTATTGAGATCCCTCCTACTTTACCCTTCTTTCTCAGGATTGCTGTGGCTATTCGGGGTCTTTTATTGTTCCAAATGAACTTTTGGAGAGTTCTTTCTAGGTCGGTGAAATATGCCGTTGGTATTTTAATGGGGAGTGCATTGAACCTATAGATTGCTTTAGGAAGTATGGACATTTTGATGATGTTGATTCTACCGATCCATGAACATGGTATATTCTTCCATCTCTTTACATCTTCCTCTATCTCTTTTTTCAGTGTCATGTAGTTTTCTGCATATAGGTCCTTTACTTCCTTAGTTAAATTTATTCCTAGGTATCTTAATTTTTTTGGTGCGATGGTAAATGGAATTGCTTTTTTAATCTCTGTTTCTATAGTTTCGCTGTTGGTGTATAGAAATGCCGTGGATTTCTTGGCATTAATTTTGTATCCTGCTACATTGTCAAATTCATTTATTAAGTCAATTAGTTTTTTAATGGAGTCTTTTGGGTTTTTTATGTATAATATCATATCATCTGCAAATAAGGATAACTTTACTACTTCTTTTCCAATTTGGATGCCTTTTATTTCCTCCTCTTGTCTAATTGCAATGGCTAGTACTTCCAGTACTATGTCAAACAGGAGTGGCGAGAGTGGGCATCCCTGTCTTGTTCCTGTTCTTAGAGGGAATGGTTTTAGTTTTTGCCCATTGAGTATAATGTTGGCTGTGGGTTTATCATATATAGCTTTTATTATGTTGAGGTATGATCCTTGTACTCCCACCTTGTTGAGAGTTTTTATCAGGAAAGGGTGTTGGATTTTATCAAATGCCTTTTCTGCATCTATTGATATGACTATATGATTTTTATCTTTCAGTTTGTTTATGTGATGTATCACGTTTATTGATTTGCGGATATTGTACCATCCTTGCATTCCTGGAATAAATCCTACTTGGTCATGGTGTATGATCTTGGTGATGTTCATCTGGAGTCTATTTGCTAGAATTTTGTTGAGGATTTTGGCATCTATGTTCATGAGGGATATTGGCCTGTAATTCTCTTTCATTGAGTTGTCTTTATCTGGTTTTGGTATTAGGGTGATGCTGGCTTCATAGAAGGAGTTTGGAAGTGTTCCTTCCTCTTGGATTTTTTGGAATAGTCTGAGGAGGAAAGGTTTTAGTTCTTCCTTGAATGTTTGGTAAAACTCTCCTGTGAAGCCATCAGGCCCTGGGCTTTTGTTTGCTGGAAGCTTTTTGATGACTGTCTCAATTTCTTCCCAAGTCACTGGTCTATTGAGATTTTTAGATTCTTCCTGATTGAGTTTTGGAAGGTTGTATTTTTCTAGGAATATGTCCATTTCGTCCAGGTTGTTCAGTTTGTTGGAATAGAGTTGTTCGTAGTATTTTGTAACAATCTGTTGTATTTCGGTGGGGTCTGTTGTTATTTCACCTCTTTCATTTCTGATTTTGTTTATTTGGGTCCTCTCTCTTTGTTTCTTGGTTAGCCTGGCTAGAGGTTCATCTATCTTGTTTATTCTTTCAAAAAACCAGCTCTTGGTTTTGTTGATCTTATGTATTGTTTTTTTGGTCTCTATGTCGTTTATCTGTGCTCTGATTTTTGTTATTTCCTTCCTTCTGCTTACACTGGGCTTTTCTTGTTGCTCCTTTTCTAATTCTTTGAGTTGTAGAGTTAGATCATCTGTTACCCTTTTTTCTAGTTTTTTGCAATAGGCTTGTAAGGATATGAACTTCCCTCTCAAAACTGCTTTTGCTGTGTCCCATAGATTTTGGATTGTTGTGTTTTCATTGTCATTTGTTGCCAGGATGTTTTTAATTTCTTCCTTGATTTCTCTGGTAACCCAGTCCTTGTTTAATAGCATGCTGTTTAATCTCCATGTGTTTGATTTCTTTGGATTATTTTTATTGTAGTTAATTTCCAGTTTTATGCCATTATGGTCTGAGAAGATACTTGATACGATTTCTATCTTCTTAAATTTGAAGAGACTTTGCCTATGTCCCAAAATGTGGTCTATCTTTGAGAATGTCCCATGTGCACTTGAGAAGAATGTATATTCTGTGGCTTTGGGGTGGAGTGTTCTGAAGATGTCAATTAATTCCATCTGGTCTAGTGAGTCATTTAGGATTGATATTTCTTTGCTGATTTTTTGTTTAGATGATTTGTCGAAGGGTGACAGAGGGGTATTAAAATCTCCTACTATGATTGTATTGCTATGAATCTCTCCCTTAATGTCCTCCAGCAGTTTTTTTATGTATTTGGTTGCTCCTGTATTGGGTGCATATATATTTACCAGGGTAATTTCTTCTTGTTGGATTGTTCCCTTTAGTATTATGAAGTGGCCTTCATTATCTCTTATTATGTCCTTCAATCTGAGATCTAATTTGTCAGATATAAGTATTGCTACCCCAGCTTTTTTTTCATTTCCATTTGCCTGGAAAACTTTTTTCCATCCCTTCACCCTCAGTCTGTGTGCATCTTTTTTTCTGAGGTGGGTTTCTTGTAGACAACAGATGTATGGGTCTTGTTTTCTTATCCAATCTGTTACCCTATGTCTTTTTATTGGAGCATTTAAAC